AAATTTAAACCTTAGAACTTTGTTGTTTTTATTTTATTATTATTATTATTTTTTTTTGGTGGAGGGATATACTGGATGATGCTCAGGGTTTACTCCTGGCTATGCACTCAGGAATTACTCCTAGTGGTGCTCAGGAGACCATTTGGGGAAGGAATAGAACCTGGTTTGATAGCATGCCAGGTAAGAGCCCCTCCTGCTGTACTTTATATAAAGTTCAATTAGTGGAGAGAAGTTGAGAGAATTTTTCTCTGTCATTCTGTCACAAATGAAAGCCAGCTCTTTTAAGAACTTTATTTGGCTCCAGAGAAAATATGACTTGCTGAAAAGAACTCTACGTGTTAGGAAGGTATAGAAGATATTGCAGAAAACGTGAAAAAGTGAAAGGGTCAATGCCAAGATGAAGGGGTTCTAGTGCATGGAGGACATGAAGGATAAGTTCTGTTTCACTGTTACAGTACAAGGATGGGATAAACCAGACAAACTGAGAACTGTGTCCCTTGGAGGTGACTTGTGAGAGTGGGGAGTTGACCCCTGCCTCAAATCTGGGTTTTAAATCTCTTAAGAAAATATGTTCTGTGGAGCTACCTGTAACAAATCAGGCCACTGATGTAGCTGCTCAAAATTTCAAGTATATAGTTCTGGGGCTGGGGAAATGCTCAAAGTGGAGGAGCACATTACTTACATAATTTGCACACGGGAACCCCAATTTCATCTCTCCCACTGCTGGTCCCCCACACTTATCCCTGTTGCCACAATACCCCCTCCCCCAACCCCCCAAAAAAAGAAAGAAAGAAAATGTGCAGTTTTGCATATTTCTGAGAGGAAAATCTTTCAAGGTCTAGACGAGGTAGAGCCCTTTCTGAATAGAACTTCTGAATGCTGAATTATTCCATGTTTCCTCCCCAAAACCTAAAATAGCATTCTCATGCTCTAAATTTCAGGAAGGCATACTTATTGTGTAACAAGTACCCACTCTGCTCCATTGAATTAGCAAATTGTGTCCTAGTTAGCACTAATTGATGGCTTAGAGGCGTTGACAGAAAGTATTCATACATTATTTACTGAGTTGTTCTTGCATTTGCATTAAGTGGTTTGGGAAGTGAATGAAGAGAACATAATGTGTTTTTTTTTCCCTCCCAACAGTCCAAAACAAGGGCATGTAAGACACTGTAAGAACAGAGGCACAACATTCTATGAATCAACCATGGATCATCATAATTTTTTCTCTATATTTAATGCAAAGATTTGCAATCTCTTAGAGTACAAAATCAAACATTAATGAAAGTGGTCATTTTTACAAAAACCAATTGTAATGCAATATAATAATACTGAAATAAATGACAGGGTCAGTAAACATTTGAGGTGGATCCACTAGGGTATATAAGGAGTATTTGAATATGTTCCTTCTTCATCCAAAAAACAGACAAACCCTCATGATCTCAACACATTTTTTTTTGTGTGGGTAGGGCTGAAGCTTATGGAAACAAAACAAAAACAAATCAAACAACCCAAATGAGTCTTTGGAATTTTTTTTTAACATAGGTTTTAGTTTTTTCTTCTAAAATGACTCTCCTCATTAAAGAGAAAAGATACAGCTGTTTTTAAAGTCATTGTTTCCTCGTGTTTCATTCAGAAATTGTCCTAATTGCTGTGGCAAGATGGTTTCCATGTGAGACAACGAGAATCCGGAACATATTCCTAATCTACTTTAAAACCACATTTGTAAAGTTTCTCTTCAAATCACCCATGGAGAAAGTTTTAAAATTTCGAATGATTGAGGCTGGAGCACAGATAGCTTATTGCAATGAAATTTAATATAATAACAGCTTAGCATAACTTTAAGGAATATTGTTTTAGGAGGATGTGCATTTTACAGCAATTATGCACAAGAAATGAATATACACAGATGTAACTGTGTAGTTCATTTTAAACAATAGAGCTCTTCTCTGAAAAACTTTGTGCTCATGGCTTATTTCAATTCTCATTCAAGGAGGAATTTACAAAATGATCTTGCAGGGAAGAAGACTGGAACAAATTTGATAACACGGATTCAAATCTCTTAGGCACATTGTGTTGGAGTAACTGACAGGAAGCACAGCCCTTAAGCAAAAGTAGTTCAACTCAGAAATATTTTAGTGAGAGGTTTCTTTTGCTATGTATTTAACCTTTTATCTACTTTGCAAAAAATCTTTATTTTTTGCAAACCTAGCTGGGCTTAGGGCTTAGTCCTGGCTCTGTGCTCAGAGTTCACTCCTGGCAGTGCTCAGAGGACCACATATGGTGCCAGGGACTGAACACGGCAGTCTGTTGTAGTATATTTCTCTGGGTCCCTTTGCCATCCTTGAAAAAAGAACATGTGTGGATTTTTTTCTTTGAACTAGAAAAAGTGATCCATTGTGGCTCAGTAATGAAAATGAAAAAAAAAAAAGCCTTGATTTCTAGGTTTGGCTAATAAATTCTTTTTAAAAAATCCTGCATTAAAAAAAAGTTAATTCAGCAATTGAGAGATAGCACAATAGGTAAGGTGCTTGCCTTGCTTGCAGTTGACCTAGATTAAATCCTCGCATCATATATGGTCCCCAAAGCCTACCAGGACTGCTTATTGAGCACAGACCCAGGAGAAAGCCCTGAGCACTGCTGGATGTGCCCCAAAGCCCAGCACCCACCCCCCTCCAAATTCAAAGACTAAAGTTGGAGTTTCAAGCAATGTGACAATGTTTTCTGCCACATTTGACGTTCAGAACCCCAGTAAGTACAGATGACCAGCAAAGACTCATTGAGGTCTGGGCAAAGGACAGGGCATCACCTCTACGAGGAAAGGAGACTTAGGTCAGGAGAGTCTTTTGACTAGCCTCTGTAACAGAGTTTGTAATGGAGTTTGCATTATCCTTACATTTGGTCTGGGTCTGCTCAACTCAGAAGGTATACTTGGGTGACTAAATTTTCACCAGTCAACTGTATGTTTCCACATTTCAGAAGGAAAACAAAGAAACTAGTGTTGGGTACTGAGTCCTTGTTTCCTCATGATTTCCCATGAGAAATAAGTACGATGGGATGGACACACTCAACTTCAGAGGGAAAATTCCCAAGTGGTTTGGGGAGGTGGGTGGGTGGCAACAGGACATGTGAGAGTGAACGAGTGTGTTAAGTTCCCTCCAAGCTTCGTGAGAAGCAGCTGGGAGGCTTGAGCCAAAAGTTACTTCCACCTTCAAGCAAACAGTCAGGGCTGTTCATCCAGACAATCATCTGCTCCTCTTTCCTGCGCCATTTCATTGCGTTGTACCAGATTTGGCAGGTGGTATCCGCTTCCACATCCGGGGGAGACCACAATGGCACAATCAGTGTCTAATTGCTTAACATGGGATAGTGGAACTGAGGATGTGAGTGGGAGGACATAACATCTCAAACATCTTTGGGGATCCCAAATATGTGGCAGAGAGATCAGTGATATTTGTTTTCTTTTCTGTGAACAGAATGAGGAACCACTGGCAGAAAAACTACAGGACGACACATTTAGGTTCAACCAAGGTCATCATGGAGGGAGTTCTGAGCCCCTGAAGAAAGTCGGTAAAAGCTGGAAAGCTACTTAATGGAAGCGACATTTGCTGGTGGAAAGTTGGAGATAATGAACTTACTCTTTTAACTCCTGTAACTCCCGACAGCATTTTTTTTTTTTTTTTTGCGACACCTGGCTGTGCTCAGGTCTTAACTTCTGCCTCTGTGCTCAGGGATCACTCTTGACAGGACACAGGGGATTATATGGGGTCCCAGGGATCAAATCAGGGTTGGCCATGTGCAAGCACCCTATCTGCCATACTATCTCTCCAGCCCTCCTGACAGCTTAGAGAAATAAAACAAAATTAGTACTATCAATTCTGAAAAAAAAAAAAACCATGGATTTCAATAGATCATCACCAGTTTTCTTCAGGGTCAAACTGGAGGCAGAATCCCAGAAAAGAAGGGGGAAATTAGATAGAAATCTCCCTGCAGAGGGTTGGAATGCAGGAGGATCAGATGATGCCTGCTCAAGAAGGCTAAGTCATCTGAAGCATTACCCAGCAAGCAAGCTTTGACAGCTCAATTACTGCAGGCTGATCTCACACAAGATACAAAAATGCCAGTTCAAAGGGGGCCCAAAGGCCTCGCATTTCCAGGTGGTAGTTGCATAATAAAATCTTCCCAGTGCATCTAGAGACACCATTTGACACAGGAGAAAGTGATTGGAATGTGTCCCCAGAGGGGCAGAGATGGAAGTGCAAACTTTATAGAACAAGTTCCCTTGCTTCGAATTCTTCCAGGGAGTACAGCTGACAAGACCTGGGTCCTTCTCTGTTCACATGCAACTTAGCTGAGACTGTATTGGGTGATCACATCTCTTCACTCTTGTGCTTCCCTATGGGGTGCTAACATCATTGTCACCTAACATAAGTCAAGGCCCGGGATTCTGAGGCTAAGAAATGTAATGAGCGAACAATTATATGTTTTGATGAATGTGGGAAAAGACATCAATGTGGATAGAAATGTGTCATAGGCTTCATGTAAGGCCTCCTTATGTAGACAGACACTTTATTAAAATGCCTGGCAATTAGCTCTCTACAGAGACCTGGTCAAAAATGTGGTTTTTAGCATTTAGTGCCTAGATACCAAGTGAAGTGGCTTAGTTAGAAATTAGTGTTTATATCAAACAAAACCTTTGCTTCTGCACAACTGAATGAGCTAGAGAAGAACATCAGATAAATGATGGCTGGGGAGAATGGAAACTTCTAGGTCAGTCAAACTCTAAAATTCTGACTTACTGCTATGGAGGCGATTGAGATGACTGTTTTTCAAGCTGGGTAACAGATCACAGATACCCTCCCCCTCCAAAAAGTGACTTTTGAATACGTCACATCAAAATATCAGTGAACACTCATTCAACAGGTTTAGCTGCTCATATGGAATAGAAACGTACCCCACGATTTCTAAACGAGTGATCTGTGCTTGCTCCTGACTTATGGGGCTCCCTTTCTAGACTTCTGGATCTTGCTCTAATTTCAAAGCAATGACCGAGGCACTGGTTCTGAATTGAATACTCTATTTATTAAAGTGTTTTTATTAACAAACTTTCACCAGAAAGTTCTGAGTGTGTTAATACAGCAGGCACATTGGCATCAATGTTTGGCATCTGACAGTCCACAGAATTGCACTTCACTCTCACAATTCTGCCACAACTTGGTGGATTGTTTGGGCAGGATCGATAACTGGCCTCCCCCATGAAATGGTTAAATATAAATTTTGGTTCCTTTTGATTTAAATGTTCCGAGTTCACGATGATGTCTGTCTGGGACAAGCTGGGCTCCACATCTGTCTGACTTTCTGAGTCCTTGTTCTCGGCCCTGCGACTGACCTCTCCATTCTCCATGTCTCTGTTCTGACACGGTCCCCTTCGGTTAGTGTCAGGATCACAACACGCTGGTCGCGAAGGGCCAGAGCTTTTGCACCCCAAAGCTGCCTCTGCCACAGGTGGAAGATGTTCTAGGCTCTGGAGACTGTGGCTGCCACTCAGTGTCACCTTCTCTTGGGGCTGTGTGGGCTGAAGAAAGAGATTCCTGGGCAGAGAATTCTGCACTGTGGGTGCCTTTATGCTACCCTGGAGGCAGGGGCAGGGGTGGTGGAGGTGAGGGATGGGGTGTAGAAAGCCCTCAGGGGCTTGATGCACAGCCTTCAGGGGTGCCACGCCGTTCTGGAGATGCAGGAAAGCACTAGTGGGAGCGCATTGGTGGCCCAAGCAGTCGCCCACCTGCTGGCAGGCATGCGGGCCGTATTTCCAGTGTTTGTAGGCATGCGGGCAGCTACATCTCTGATGCAGAGAGAAGAGGTGACACACGGAGCGCTGATCGAGCGAGGGCGGTAGAAGGGCAGTGCTCGCCTCGCTCTTGGGGCTTTTGTTGAGTTCGCTGGTGTATGTGGTGTGCACAGGCAGCCCGACATTCTTGGCGTGGCTGTTGAAAAAGTCGGAGCAGATGTGGGGCTCTTCGTAAGGGCTCTTCTCAGAGGCGGCACAGCTATGGGAGGCCAGGGGCTCCAATTCATAGAACTCATGCTCTAGGTCTGATTTCTGGCCCCTGGGCGCCAAATGATAAGCATTCCCAGCATGCGTTTTGCTCTGTCCCTTGTCCCCAGGGCTTGTTGACAAGGCATGGGAAAAGGCACTGCACTGGAGTTTCTTAGGCAAAGGAATCTGACCATAGGTGCCCTGCGGCCCCAGGCACCGGCACAAACACTGGAAAAAGAAGGTGGCAAAGGCCCAGCTGATGCACATAATGAGCATCATGAAGGTGCCCAGCTGGGTGTAAGCCAGGACCGTGGAGGGCATCATCATGGCCCCGGCCACGAAGGTGGTCAGTGCGGCCATGGCGATAGCTGAGCCCATACGACTCAGAGAGAAGATCACTTTTCCTTCCCGGTCGGCATCGGGGGCCAGGCGGTAAGCCACCCCATAATGGACAGCGAAGTCGACGGACAAGCCAACAGCCACAGAAATGGTGACGGACTCCAGAACATTGAGCTCCCAGCCCAGGAGGACCAGAGAACCCACGGTCACAAAGATGGTCCCAGCGATGGAAAGGATGGCGTAAAGGCTGATGATGATGTTCCACGTGGTGAGCAGCATCACGCTGAAAGCCACGGCCACCGAGAGCCCCATGGCAATGAGGGTGCCATCAGAGAGGCTGTCCTGGAGGTCATAGAATTCCAGGTTGCTAACAAACCAGCCATTGCTGAGGCCCTCTGGGGCGGAAGTCAGCTCGTTGGAAATCCACGAGTCCACCTCTTTGTAAAACTGGTGCATCTTTTCATAAGCTAGGGTGAAGAGGTAGGTGCTCTGGAACTCGAGCACAACCGCCCGGATAGTATCATTGATATCGAACCGGGGCCCTGGGGTCTTGCTGTCCAGATGGTAGCCCGTGCTCCGCTCCAGCTCCATGATGGCTCGCTTGATGCACAGTTCAAAGATCTCCTGCTTGTAGGGGAAGCTCCAGCGGCTGCAGCACGGGTACAGGGCAGGTTCGTCGCAGTCCTGGTTCTCCATCCACTGTTTGAAAGTCTCAATGAAGCAGCTGGTGAAGTCCTGCTCGTCTGTTTGGTAAAAGAAGCTCTGATTTCTTAGTTTTTGACAGAAGTGCAAAATCCAGACCTGGGAAGCTGGGCTGGCGATGTTGAAACGACTGTCTAGGGTTAACTTCCCTTTACTCTTGGGATTCAGTGGGTTGCCGTTGTCTTCGGGGGACACCCCCCAGATGACGGTGATGGGCATGTGGAGTTCCTCTCCATGGTGAACGCGCTCAAACATGAACAGTTTTTTGTACTCGGCATCATAACGTTCAAAAGGATGTGACGCTCTGAACACCTGGAACTCTGATAACTCCAACGAGGGTAGTTTCATCTTTGGGTTTATGCACACAATGTAGGCCCCACCGACGGTTAAGGCAAGGAACCAGAACAGCCAAAGGTAGCGGAACTTAATGACAATGCAGGGCAGGACTTTCTCAAAAAAGATTCGCGACGCTTCCGAAATGGCAAAAAGTACTTTGTGGCACTTCTGGCAAGCCACGGTCCAGCAGCTTTTGGTATCATAGATTTGCTGCTGGGGCTTCTTGAAGCAACTGAAGATATTGAGCAGATAGCGCTCGTGCAGGACCACCACTGCGGGGAGCCACGTGACCATCAGAACATAATTCACCAAGATGGCTGTGCCCGCGTAGACCCCAAAGCATCTGATGGCTGTGATGTTACTAACATAGTTAGCGTAAAAGGCTGCGGCTGTGGTGAAACTGGTGACGAACATGGAGAGGGCGGCATGCTGCAGGGTGATGCTCACGGTTTCCGACGTCTCCGCGTGAGGTTTGTCAAATTTGGTGTAGTTCCAGACGTCACACAGGACAAAAGCATCATCTGCTCCAATTCCAACCAAGATAATGAGTGCCGTGAGGTTCATAAAGGGGAAAAATTCGAAGTTGAACACTACACGGTAGAGAAAATAGGAGACGATCAAGGAGCTGATGATGGCAAACATGGTCATCAGCGTGATGAACATGGACTTGGTGTAGACGCACATGACCAGGAGGACGATGACGATGGCGATGGCGGGATACACAGTATCCATCAGAAGATAATCCTGAAACAAACTGTGTTTGATGCCAAATTCAATGCCCGTGATGGTGGTGATGCCGTCGGACGCGTTCCAGTTCTCAAAGTTGTCCAGGTAGATGTTCATCATGCTCTCTCCTTTCTCAGTGGGGGAGAAGAGCATGCTGTACTTTAAAGCTGGCGTGGCAGAGTCAGCTGTCTTTGGGGACAGAAAGTCCTTGTCCACCAAGTAATGGAGGATCTGGTACACGGCATTGTGCTTGGTGCATTTCCGGGGCACGTTGGTGCACTTGAGCTGATCCTTCCTTCTGGCCGCCATGTCCCAGCAGTCGGGCTCCAGAGTGCCGTTTTGGTAGTGTTTGGCGCAGGTTCGAAGCAGCTTCAGGGTATGAGAAACATCTCGCTCGACAATTTTCTGGCAAGATGATCTGTTGTTCAGAATGGCGATGTAGTTCCCCAGGGTCCAGCTGGGGCAGCAGGATGCGGCGGTGGTCCTCTGGCAGAGATCCCCAAACTGCGGATGAGATCTGATCTGCGAAGAGAGACAGAGGGCTGGCATTTAACATCAGCTCACAGAAAGGTCTCAATGAAGGGGACCTTGAGGGGCAGGGCAAGTTCCTGTTGAATGATTCATCCTTTTAAATTAGGTACCAGTTTGGCTACCAGATGAAGTTTCCCTTCCCTAAAGTCATTTTATATTGCATCTTACTTATATTGTACCTGGCATACTCCCTGCGACCCCCCCCCCCCCCGCCCCCCCACGAGTTAATTTGGAACAACAAACTACTTGTTTGGGAATGACTCACATATGTAAGACCACTTTGATGGACAATGCTAGTTCAGGTCAAAAGAAAAAAAAAAAGGACATACAGGGCCGAAGAGATAGTACAGTGACAGTGGGTAGGGCGCTTGCCTTGTATGCAGCTGAACCTGATTCGTCCTTAGCACCGCATATGGTTCCTGAGCCCACCAGGAGTGATCTCTGAATGCAGAGACAGGAGTGAGCCCTGAGCACTGACAGGTGTGGCCCCCAAACAAACAAAAAAACAAAAAAACACACATTAACATTCCTTCCAAAATTGTTTTGACAAACAAAATATGAAAAAGCTTGGCAAACTTAAGAGTACAATGTACATATAAAAAATTATGGTTTTGCCTAACATGTCTGGTTAAATAGCATGAAAGTTTTGGAGATCAAGGAACTACATTGCTATCAAATTAGCTGGAAGCAGAAACGGCATTTCCTAGGAAACTGTCAGGGACTCCTAGGAAAGACCTGGAATTGAACTGTTTCTTCCAGTAGGGTATATATAAAGACATATAACATCTATTAATTTAAATATAACATAAAATCAATATAATAAATGGAATTAAAACAATATAAATTGCACTGTAGCACTGTCCTCCCGTTCATCGATTTGCTCAAATGGGCACCAGTAACATCTCCATTGTGAGACCTGTTGTTACTGTTTTTGGCATATCGAATACATCATGGGTAGCCTGCCAGGCTTTGCTGTGTGGACAAGATATTATTGGTAGCCTGCCAGGCTCTCTGAGAGGGGCGGAGGAATCAAACCCAGGTCTGCTGCGTGCAAGGCAAACACCCTACCTGCTGTGCTATCGTTCCAGCCGAAAACAATATAAATATTTAAATATAACATCTATCATTCTGATATTATTATTATAATTGTTTTTGGGGCAACATAAAGGCCAGGAGGCCCGGGACACCTCCCAGCAATTCATCAGTTGGTGGCAGTTCACTGCAGAACTGCTTGGGTCCGCAGTGCTGGGTCTGCCCTGGTGGTGCTCTGCGGCCTGCAGAGCTGCCCTGGGCAGTGCCCAGGCATGTGATCTCTGTGGATGACTCTGGGGTGCCAAGGATCAAACTGGGGGACCCCTGGACAATCTCTCTAGTTCCTATCATTATGATTTTAAATAAAATTTGGCATCAACAAAGTCATTTCAGCAAGAATTTTATGACTTCTACCACAGGGTAACATTTTATTTCCCTGGGCTAAAATCCTTTCTGGAGAAGTTTCTCTCTCAGTAAAGTGGCATCTGCTGCCTTTTATGTAAGTATGAAAATTCTGGACTTAATATGGATGGCATTTCATTTGGAACAGTCTCTGGCTTTTCTTAGGGAAAAACCTGAACAATTGTTCCATGACTGGTATGGCTAGAGGATTAAGGAAGCCTACATAATTCTGTTCCCTTAGAATCCAAATTTCCTTTTCCTCAGGAGTGACAATAAGCAATATTCCCCTTTCTGAACCATTCCAAAGACTTCTCCAAGTAACAGAGCTAAAGGTGACCCACCCACATCACTTTCCTCACCTCTATTTACCCAAGCCTGTTCCAGCAAGGAAACTCCAAAGGTCAAGAAGGGTGTGAAATTTTCTTTTTCCTAGTAGGATTAAAACCACCCCTTCCATTTATTCAAGTAGATGTTTCTCAATAGTGCATTGAAACTTCTCAAAGCATAGGAGAACTTGGCACCAAACATCTCTTTGGACCTTAAAATTTAACTGAGAACTAAGTTCCTGATAATCCTCTAAACTCTACTATGTATGATACTTTATTAGGTTTAATCCTGTGTGGGCAAGGCACAGATGAAACAAGACCTGCTATGCACTGAGAATTGCTGAAACTGGAGGAATCATTACACTCTTCTACTTTTGTATCTGTTAGAAAGGAAAGCCATAGTTTCACATATGTGAGGAAGTGATCTACCACCAAGCTACTTTCTTAAACCAATAAAACAATTAAATGAGAAATCCTACTGGAGGTGCTGAATTGAAATTAGCAAAAGAATTTTTTTCTCAAGTGCACAAAATGGGCTGGAGCGATAGCAAAGCTGGCAGGGCATTTGCCTTGCACGCGGCTGCCCCGGGGAGACCCCGGTTCGATTTCTCCGCCCCTCTCAGAGAGCCCAGCAAGCTACCGAGAGTATCACACCTGCACGGCAAAAGCCTGGCAAGCTACCTGTGATGTATTTGATATGCCAAAAACAGTAACAAGTCTCACAATAGAGACGTTACTGGTGCCCACTCGAGCAAATCAATGAACAATGGGAGGACAGTGCTACAGTGCACAAAAATGAGGTTTTACAAGGACTTATTTATTTATTTATTAATTTTTAAAATAGGGACCACATTCTGTGGTGTTCCAGCCCAACAGGCCCATGGGTGCTTGGGGCCACCATAAGAACACTTGGTGGTATGAGGGTGGCTCTATGGTGCTAGGAATAAAACTCGGGATCTGAGATATGCCAGGCATGCGCTCTATCACTTCAGCCGTATCCCGACCCCCTGCAAAGCTTACTTTTTTTTTGGGGTCACACCCAGCGATGCTCAGGGGTTACTCCTGGCTCATGCACTCAGGAATTGCTCCTGGTGGTGCTCAGGGGACCATACGGGGTGCTGTGAATCGAACCTGTGTTGGCCATGTTGGCTGCGTGCAAGGCAAACACCTTACCTGCTGTGCTATCGCTCCAGCCCCCTGCAAAGCTTACTTTTAAAATTCATTCCATCAACAAAATATTTTAAAAGCTTACTTCTAAAAATCAAAAGTTATTTGACATTTTGTATCTAAGTAAAAACAGTCATGTATTCTAAGTCAGGGGAAATGAATGCACCCACTAAATAACAGGAAACCCTGGAACAGTATCTTTTTTTAAAAATTTTATTTTTGGTGTTTGGGTCACACCTGACTGTGTTCAGGTCTTATACTCAGGGCTCACTCCTGGCAGTTTCTCTGGGGCCATATGTGGTGCTAGGGAGTGAACCTGGGTAGGCCAAGTGTAAAGCAAATGTCTTTCCTGCTGTTCTGTTGCTCTGGCCCCATCTTTTTGGCTTTTGAGGCAGATGGCCAGTTTCACCTGCGAAGAAATAACCAGCAGATCCCTGGAGTCATCTTGGTGAACTCACTATTCGCTGGAGGTTAATACACCTTCAGTGTCTGACAGTTCTTCGACAGTGGAAAATGAATCAATATATTATGAAACCTTATATCAAACAGCTAGAAAGATGTATATGTAGTTTCATGTAAACCAATTTAATTGTTTTAGTGTGTGTGTGGGGGGCATATCTGGCCGTGCTCAGAGTCACTACTGGTGGGGTTCCAAGTGCCCTCATGGGTTGGCTGTGTAAGGTCAGTGCTTTACCTATTTCTCTGGGCCCCACTGTCAACTAAAATTTGAAATAGGGTTGCTGCTGAAACTGAGAATACAAAAAGCACAAAATTCATTCTGTCCTTGAATAATCTTTTCGATAACAAAGGGTGCGTGCGTGTGTGTATGTGTGTATGATTAAAATAGAGGAGGTGATAAATGCAGACCAAATACAATTTTATTTTGATGCCTGCAATGAAAAATAAATGCTAGGAAGCCTCTGGAGAGCCAATCTTCAAAGTCAAAGATAGTACTGGCAAGTGTACAACCTCTGGAAATTTTCTGAGAGCTAAGAGAAAAAACACTGTAGACTTCTGCTTGGAAGCAGCCTGGCTTGGATTCCAGAGCCCAGAATGGAAGGGAATGGATTGTCTAGGTCAGGGTTTTTCATAGCAGGTGATATGTCCTGAGGAGCGTTGGATCAATCAGGGAGGGAAGTAGCTGTCTTGGGTACAACAGGACCCTTAAAGAAGGCAGATTTACCATAGAATACTGAATGTTTTTTAATTTTTCTGCAAAGGAAGTGAAGAGGCCAAATTAATTCAGCAGCGTCTGGTTTAAACTTTCAGGCAGTTAGGCCATGGTTCTTATCCATCCATCCATCCATCCATCCATCCATTCCAAAGAAAACATTCAGTTTCTACACAAGATAATATGGCAGGAAAATAAGACAAAGAAACCATGAAGACTGCCATGCCCCCAGGGTCTGTGTGAGTCTGTAAAGTAGACACACCTGGGCGTGTGGAAGTACCAACTTAGTTGCTTGTAATTGCAATAGCTCAGTACTGAGCCAGGTATTTGGCTGTGGGGCTTTGCAAACAGAAATGTCCTCATGCAGTAGACAGCTCTAATTAATTAATTAATTAATTAATTAATTTTTGTGGCGGTGTATGTCTCCAAAGCAGTGATTAGTAGGAGTTCTGGGATGCTTCCTTTGATAATTAACAAATCTGCAATGGGTGCAATGTAACGGCATGAGGACATGGTGCTACTGGGTATCTTGGTGACTGGGCCCTTCTAGGGCTGCACCTGATAATGTTCAGAGGACTCTATTGTGCTGGGTATCAAACTGGGGTTGGTCATTTGCAAGGCATGCACCTTAATCCCTGTGCTATCTCTCTGGTCTCAACAGCTGCAATTTTGTCATAGGAATGTACAAGAATGACTTAAAAAAATCCTTGAAGCTTATAAAAGAACACAGTAAGAATAATATCTTGGACTCTCATGAGGAGTCAGAGTCCCTTTTTTGGTGTGTGTGTGTGTGTGTGTGTGTGTGTGTGTGTGTGTGTGGACCTGGCCTGGGCCCCACTTGGTGGTGCTCAGGGCTTACTCCTGGCTTTGCACTCAGGATCACTCCTGATGAGGTGCCAGCGAATGAGCCTAGGTTGGCCATGTGCAAGGCAAGTGCCCTACCTGCTGTACTACTGCTCTGGCCCAAGAGTCCCTTTTAATTCTAGAGTCAAATCTTGCAGGAATTTATTTCTGTCATGTGGTTGTAACATGTCTTTGCACAACTTTCTAGTTAGATAGGTAGGGAGGGGGGATAAGTTTAAAATAGGGAATAAAGGAAGAGTAGAGAAAAAGAAGAAACCAGCAGTTTCAGATACCTTCTAAAAGTACTGGTTAAGGAGGAGATATTTTAAGATGTAGAGAGAAGAATAAAGGGAAGACAATTAATAGCAGGTTCAATCGCCTGCTGGACTCTCCTTTCCCATGTGACAAAGTCCCCCATTATTACAATTTAAGGGAGCTTAGGGAAAAAAGAAAAGCAAAGGTTTCCTGGTCCTTTTAAAAACAAGCATGAGTAAACACCTTTCAGAGATCCTCAAAGTTTTAGTTGTGGCATGGGGGAGGGGGAGAGGGGCATTTCAGCTATTCACAAAAGTTACCCTAGCAAACAGGGTCTTAGGCACCAAGTTTCAAATCCCCTTTACAAGCCAATTTCTTAGCGTGCCAACTTCTACAATGTTCAAAGACTAAGAAACAGGGAAAGGGTTCCCTGCAGAGCCAAGATTAGGGAAACACACTTTTGGTTACTAATGACTAACTGCAATGTGTCCCTCAGGATATCAAAGAGCAGAAAAGAGAAATGAAGTTGAGGGTTGTCAACTGAGGCTTTTTATGAAAGACAACATCTGAAACAGAAGCTCTCTAGCCAATCTCAGGCTGTCTGAGTTATGAGCACAAGTGGCAAGTTCATTTACATGGAGTCTGGAGTTTGAACTCAATGTGTTATAAACACTGGCAGGCGACAATGGAAACATCTGGTCTCACTGAGATATTCCACTGGCTACCAGACGTTTTCTGGAGTCAACCTACCAACAATTAAGTTCTTAGGGTCTGCATCAGTTGGTATGTGCCCCACTAAGTTTGGTAGTTGTTAATAATCAAGTGCTTAAGTACAAAAGCTAGGGTTTGAGGAGGGAAAAGGAAGAAAGACTCCAAGTAGTTTGCTCAAACCATAATAACAAAGAAAAATCCTAAAAGTGCATTGAGCTGGGACACTGGAAAAACGTAATCTGAAACTGAACTGTTAACCAACAGTTCTTGTTTATGATATCACTGATTATACTATATCCATGAAATAGTTTTTATTCTCGTGGTTCATTAACAGAATTTGAAACTAGAATACAAGGGCACTTGCAATTGGTAGACCACTATTTAATATGTCAAAGTAATAACCATACTTTCTGAGGTAGAATTTTGGGGCCTTGATTATCATTTATTCATTTGCTAGTGTGGACCTATGATTGACCATTCATTTAGGCATGTGTCTTGAGTCTTTTACTCAAATTTTAACTAGAAGACCAAAACGCTAACCATAATTTTTCCAGGGATTGCAATCTTGAGCTCAAAAATATCCAAATTCTTATCACTAGCCCAAAAGAGAAATATTCAGACAAGCATAGAATATAAACTCCTTTAGAGAGCCTAAATTTTGCAAATATATCAAGTCATTTATAAAGGGACAAAAGTGATCATATTTTTTCATCCTTTCTGCTACCAGTCTACTAAGCTGTGATTTAACAATCAAATACGATTCATTACTACAACCTCTTGTGAGCATCTTGCTAAGAACTCTGGAACACCATCACATTTATTTTATAAAGGAAATAGATGATGGTCATCTCTGGCCTTAGTATGAAGTCCAAGTATAATCTTAGTAAGAAGATACTTGGACTTCTAAAAATAAATCTATTGTCCTATCTATACGATTTTTTCTTTCCTTGATTATGAATTACCTTTGGCTCAGGCTTCCAGGAGGTTAGAGGCAAGTTTGCACTTCACTGCCTGTCAATGTCTAGGACGGTGGGGGTCTACATTATTGTAGTGTTCTTAGCTTTTTATTATTTTCCTGATCATATTAATCATTCAAATGACCATATTCTAGTGTATGTTTTTTTGGGTAAGCTATCCATTGATGCTAATTATTATGATGAAATAATATACTGCTCCCATGATGAAAGTCATATGGGCACCATACAGCTTATTGGCTTGTGTATCTTTGAGTTCATTCAGAGTCCAACATGAACTCATAATCACTGTCTCTTTAAAAAAGGTAGATATCAATATAAGAGCTATGATGGCTTTATTTGGTTCGTTTGAGTGGAAGATGGGATAGAGTAGTAAAACAAAACAAAATGGTTATTGCTGGCTATTTTGGCATTATGGAAGTATAAAACACAATTGGTAAAGGTAGAGACCTCCAGAGTTAGACCTGGCTGGGTTCAGATTCTGGATTTTCGCTCACCACTTTCAAGGTGATTAAATGAAACATCACCCTAGCAATTAGCACACTTCTTGAAAAATATCAATAATACCCAAATATCAGGTACTTAGCAATGGAGGGAATCTAATCAGTTCAGAGACTGAAAGGCAGAGAAGTTACAGAACTACTCAATTCAAAGTGTGATTATAAAGGAAATTGGACTGTTTAACTCCTCATTATTAAAATACAAATTACAAATTCCATGGGAGCCCATGGTGAGCAATGTAAATACCAGCATACAAATGTAACAAACAAATTTTGGAACTTTTTCAGAGTTAGCTTTCTCTATGGCAAAAAAATCACAGCCTTCAAACTATAAAATGAAGAAAACAGGGCAAATAAAATTTCACCACTGATTAAGGAACTATGGTTTAAGATAAATTTATTTGGAGTTGAATGGAGACAATATGGCACTCACAGAAAAACCTCATATTCCAATCAATGAAAGCTATTTTCAAAACTTATAAATTGTCTCATAGAGTGAAGAATGCTGTAGGGTTAGATTTGGGCCCAAGTAATTAGGTGGCCTGGGTAAGTCACTTAGTTCTCACAGGATACTTAAGTCAACATAATGAGACTGCTGGTCTAGTTGATTTCAAAGAGTCCTCTCTTTTGTTACAAAACCCGGTTGACAGAACAGGTGATTGCACTACGTTGTCACGCGCGCACTTAGCAGGACATGAGATTATATTTTCAACTACTCAGTTAATGATTTTACATGTTAGTTTTGCTAAGACACAATGAGTGCCCTTCTGTCTGGGGACTGTGCTTGGGCAGATCTATTAGTGAGATCAGATAGAAACTGACAGCTCTTCAGAGCCCAGAGGATGACTTGACATTTCCTGGTGCTGACAACTTTTTGGACTGGGAAAAGACCAAGAAAGTGCTTGTCTTCTTACCCTTCAAAAAACAGCAAGGTGTTTAGAGTTCAGACCCATCTGGATTGAATTATCCCGGCCATTTGTAGAGATACTGTATTTGGTGCTCTTTGATTTTTCCCTTTCCCAGTCAGAACCCTAAATATTCCTTTGAGTCACAGGCCCCATTGATTGTCCCACTGAAGACCTATTTATTGCCAGAGAGAGTGAGCTTTTGACAGCATAATTAAGATACTGACAACTGCCTGGGGGGAAGAGTGGGGAGGAGTATAGTGAACAATGCAACCGGATTAGGAGAGAGAAAATACAACAACAAGAAAAGAAAACTTAACTATTACCCTGAAAGGAAATACTCTGTGAAATAACACAAAAGACTAACGTGGCCAGAGAACAAGGTGGGGGAAACAAAGACGCTTCTTTATTTAGAAAGAGGGGATATTTTAAAGGTGGGGAAACACAGACACTTTGATCACAGGGATCTGAAAGACTGCAAAGCTGGCCCTGCTGCTGTTTGCTCCTCAGTAGGTAAGCTACTTAAGTACTTTTATTTGATCAACACCAGGGGCAGCAGCAGAAGTTTAAAAAAACAAAAAACAAAAACAAAACCCCCAAACCCGAAAACCCTTATTGTGCTTAACAACTTTCTGGTTTTACTTTACATACCCTCGCATTATCTACATTGCACATTGATTTAATTGCAGGTAAATTCCATAATGTCTCTCCTCCAGCTGAAGTAAATACTACTCTTGAATAGCGGTCACCTGTTGAGATGAAAAAGAGAAAAAGAAAAATTCTTCATTCATTTCGTAAGACACAGAAACAACTCACTGGGAAACTTCATGGACAATTCATTGGCCTGGGAGAATCCCAACCTTTGTAAACCTGGGGCATGGGAGGTGGGGGTGAAGGTGGAAAGCAGTGCTATCATATTACCTTAGCTCAAATTCTTTTTCCACTCTACATCTTAAAAAAATCACAGCAGCTACGTAGCATCTATTTCTGATTAGACTATAATTAGGAAGAACAATCCACAAGAACTTTCAGCAGGAAATTAATTGAGTGCCTCTCTCTTAATTTTACAAAACATCACCATAATGGTATATAAAACCAACGAATGATGCACAAGGGAATATCAAGAATGATGACACGGGCAATATTCTTGGCAATTAACTGGAGAGAAGACTGCATGCCGTCAATTTGAAAGCACTAAAAACAGTCAACTAAAAAAAGGCGGTTGGCTAGAATCAGAGACACACTTTGCATCCTGGTGGAGCGCATGGTCTCTTGGGCACACCAGAGGCTAGAAAAAAATGTTGAAAATTCTATTAATACAAAATATATTTGTGAATCAGGAGGTTGTGTGATGGTCTCTAAATCAGGACTATGGTAACTAGGTACTCTCATTTCCTAGCTGGCTGATCTTAGGCACTTAACAATCTTTCTGGGTCTTGTATTTTCATGTGTGAAATGAAGACAGCAACATATAGCTCCATTAATTGTGAAAATTAAAGGAGACAATAAAAAACATAAACACAATTTCTGTTTCCTCAGCTGTTTGAAAAAAAATATACCCTTAACAAACTATAAACTAAGTAAAGCAAAATGGGTTCATTTTATGTTATATAACTTTCCAGTTATGCTAACAAGAAAATCAACTTGCAAATTTGTAAAAAAATGCTTTATTACATGAGTTTTTAATTCATGATCACAACTGTTCTTAAGTAAATTCTTTATCAGTTACTATGTGGATAGATTTTGGAGATCAAAATATGCCTTTGCAAATGGAAATATTTCCTTCCCATAGAACTAGAAATGGATTTACTCAAGGTACAATCTATTACTTACTAGACAAATATTTGGTATTTTTGAAATGTAAAAATAAAATATAAACAATTTTGTAGTTTACAGACTAGATAATGTTCTTCCTGGCTAAGATAGCCAAAACATGCAACTGACTGAGTTAATTTTTTAATAAGTCTCATAAGAGACTTAAGAGAGGAACTAGCAAAAGAAACTTGCATTGCTTTCTGGGGCTCCATCTCTATTTAGTACATAGTAATAGTGTTCAAAAAAAGACCTGTGAGACTTAGCTAGATCTAGAAACACTGAACATCTTAATAAACTCTGCTTAGTTGTTTTTATAACCAATCAGCTTGGTCATTGAATATCTCATTTAACCAATCAGGTTGATCAGTTTCCAAGACCCAGTTTACAACGGATAGACAACTGGAACAACTGGAACAGCACTGTCAGTTTTATTAGGTTTACATCTTCCTTGAAACTGACTAAAGTCAATTTTATCTATTTAATTTTTAATCACAGGTAAATAAATTTAGGTTAGTGGTTACATGACCTAGAGAGGTAAAACTGTAAGTTAATTAAGCTAAAAATACACCTGCTATCACTCTAGATCAGTGTTTCACAAACTTCATTCCTTGTGGCTGCTGTGGACTTTGTCTACCTTGTCTCCAGGTTCGGCCCCCTAGGCTCCTGCTGTGACTCTTATGTATGCATTTTCACCTTTGGCCCCCTTGGAATATCCTGAGGGCATATAAAGGTCTATATGGCCCCTGGCTGAGAAGGGCTGGCCTACATGACAATCTTGTTCAAGCTCTACCAAGCTAGGACTGGGGGTGGGTGGGGGGGTGGGATGGGGTGGGGGGGTTGTTCATCTGTGAAGCACTCACTTGGAACATCGCAGAAAAAGCTGTCTTTGTGGAAGTTCCAGTCAACTTCTCTTTTCTCTCTTTCAAAATGATCATCTCGATGGCTGAAATGGAACAACAATTCAATAAGGTTCTAATATTTTCAAGGCAAAGTATACCAGCATAAAATCCTCCAAGTCATGACCTATTTAGCATTGATAACAAGAGGATAGGATGCTGACATGCAACCAACATTTTGTTTCCTAAATTCTAAATTTTCTCACTTCTAGATTTTCATCTATATTCGATATGCCAAACACAGTAACAACAAAGTCTCCAATGGAGATGTTACTGGGCCTGCTCGAACAAACCGATGAACAACGGGAGGACAGTGACAGTGACAGTGATATACAACAAAATCTTAAAAGACAATACCAACTTAAATTCTGTAACAACATTTTTAAAAAATTTGTTTATTTAGGGACATACCCAGCTGTGCTCAGGGCTTGTTCCTGGCTCTACACTCGGGGATCATTACTGGCAGGGCTTGGGCGATCATATGGGATGCCAGGGATCAAAACTGGGTCACCTATGTGCAAGGCAAGCGCCCACCTGCAGTACTATGGCTCCAGATCCAGTAACAAAGATTTGAAATTCTGATGTTCCAGGCTGTACTCAAAAACCCTGGGGTTCCTTGACACAGTGGTGCCAGGCCTGATGGGTAGGTACTCAGCGGTCAGTGAGGTGGTGCTGGGGGGCCACCAGGGCTACCCCTAGCAGTGTTGGGTAGAGAGGGGGAAGGTATGTTGTACTGGGACCAAATTTGGGGCATTGTGCATGCAAAGGACATACTTCAGCCCTTTGAGCAATTTCCTGGAAGTGGCAAAGATTTGGAGCCACACCGTTTCAGTTTTAATCTTTTTGCTCAGGCAATGTTTAAAAGAAGAATTCATTTGGCAATACTTTGTCTAAAAGTTATAAAAAGGATTACCTTTTAGCTTGTTCATCTGCATATTTAAAGGGGTAATTTGCTAATGTTGCTTTGTATCCTGTATTTTTTACCATGTTGTTCCACGTGACCAGTCTTTGGCCAATTGCAGTCCCTCTTGGTTCAAAACCCTAAAGCAAAATGTCACAAATTCCCATTAGTGCTTCATTTCAGGCTAAATGTAGTTATAATAACAGCTTGGGAAAGCAATGTCAAGGTGATGTATAGCTTTCAACAGAGAATGGAGACGTTCTTCCCAGTCACTGCAGAGGTGAAATGTACTACAAGAAGATGACTTGACCTGGTAAGGATCACCTCTCCACCCTAACAAAACAGTAGATTGCAAGTCCCTAGAGAGAGAGGAAGAAACTTATCTGAAGCTTATCTTTTTAATTCTTACCTCAGCATTCAATAAATAGTTATTTTAATTTTGCTATTATAAAGAACGGACAGTTTATAAGATATATACTGTAGGTTTTTACAAAGTTAGCTTAAGTTTATCATTATTCCTGTTATTATACGCCTGATGACTATTAACAAAAGAAAAGGGTACCCCTCCCCCAATGTAACACACCGTATCTTTTCATACTTATTTTTTGGAGATGATTGTGTGATAAAGAAGCAAAGAAACAAATCCTTCTTGCTCAGTTTTCCTTACCAGCAACGGATCGGAGAAGTCAGGAAGCTCTGGCACTAATACTCCCACCAAGGCACAGACCACGATGAACACGGTACACATGCCCAGGACCACCACGGGCCAGTCGGCTATTAGGGCTGCATAACTACAGAAGTAGAGAGAAATCACAAAGAGGGACTTGAAGAAGCAATGTAGAGTTGTTTTCCTTTTGCTACCAAGAGATTAATTGGCTAAATCCTTGCAATTCAGAGCCAGCATAGGCATTTGTTAATTAAAAAAAAATCTACTGACATGATAAGGATTTACATGTAATCATTTACTGACAATTAAAGGTCATTTCCTTTCATTTTTGTGATTAAATAGCTGTGGTCATACTACTATAGCCTAGTGACAGAGTAACATTTCTTTCTGAGAAATAACATTTTATGTTCACATCTATGTCTGGGACAGAGAAGATCCAAAATCTTTGCTTCTTAAGTAGAGAGAAAAACAGATTTTAACAGAGGATCTACTCTCCAAGCTGTCTCTTCCAGAACTTTTGTATCTTCTGCCACTCCTATTATTCATACATTAAGCTTATATGTTCTGAAAAAGAACTCAGAAGATAAATAGGTTCAGGTAATATAAATCTTAAAAATAACCAAATCAAATAAAAAACTTCCCATAAACCTATAACTTTTTTTCTAGGTAAATGACAGTGAACATATCCCATTAGACTGTGTGTTCATTTATTGACATAGCCATACCTTCAGCAGTAGCATTGAAAAGGTTCTGGATAAATGATGAATTTATGAAATATCAAGTTCATAAGATGAAATAACTGAACATACATCCATGCACCCCTCACTCTCCAACCCAATAGGTCATCTTTAATCTCTACTGCACCCTGTTTTGTTTTCTGTAAAACCTTGGATCATGCTTAACAGCTTGACATTTGTAGATCTTGGTATGCACCAAGTGTCCAACAGAAATCGCCTAACTTGAATTTTGCTAAAATTAATAATAAATGCTGTCAATCTCAGGTTTCTTGAATTTTTATCAGCAAAAATGAAAACGTAAAACTTGATAATTACCCTCAAACTACTAACAATGTCATTTATCAAATTCTCTCAAGTGGCTGCTAGGATGACTATTTCTGGTTTATCTGAAAAAGTCTTCTTATTCTTTCTTATTCCAACTTTTAAGAGTTATTTCTTCAAAAATCATGCTAGAAATTTAAATAAAACTGATAGCTTTAAATGTTATATTGAGAATGAGCTATATTATTGATGTTTATATTTTGATCTCTCAAACTCACAGATCTGACTTTGTTGGAATATTTCCTTCCTTTTCAGGGGCCTCCCGTTGATCGTCGATTTGCTCGAGCGGGCCCAGTAACGTCTCCATTGGAGACTTTGTTGTTACTGTGTCTGGCATATCGAATACTCTCGGTAGCTTGCCGGGCTCTCCGAGAGGGGTGGAGGAATCGAACTCGGGTTGGCCATGTTGGCCGCTTGTAAGGCGAACGCCCTACCCGCTATGCTATCGCTCCAGCCCCCATATAAATTTTTAATAGGGAAATTGAAATATAAAGTAACTATGCTTGAAGGAAGCACTTGCACAGATTTCTTTCATTGTTTTTTGAAAAGTAATTAGGATGGGGCCAGAGAGATGCTACAGCAGATAGGGCATTTGCCTTGCACACACCTGACCCTAGTTTGACCCCCAGGGACCATTTTTGTTCTACTGAGCACCTTCACGAGTGATCCCTAAGCACCGCTGGGTATTGCATAAAACCAAACAAAAAAAAGTAATCATGGGAACATAAAGAATACTAGCTTGTACTTACTAGGCATACCAGTTACTCTTATACTTTTAAGAGATGATACTCTCAATTAAGTCTCACAAATTATTGAGACAAATTGAGGCATAGTCAGATCAATAACTTGTTCAAAGTCAGAAAGTTAGGAACCCAGGCAATCTGGTTCTAGAGCCTAGGCTCTTATAATTGTGATATCATCTCTTGTTCTAAACACGAGAAACAAAAGACATCAGAAATAAGAGACACACATATGTCTCCTCAAATTCAATTTAAGAATTAAATTCTTAAGCCATATTTGAAATTAATTTTTTTGGTAAAATCACCCAGATCCATAGCACTTCAAGTTTAAATCTGATTATGCATTTGGGATTTAAGAATATATCAAGGCAAAATTATGCTGGGTGAAAAGGAGTAAGAACCACTCTGGATGTAATAAAAACATACAAATCATAATATACTGATTGTGGCTGTTCAAAGGTAAATACCAAGTGGCTAGAAACTTTTCCATTTCTAGAACACACCCACTGCTTATATTCTCTATACTTTATTTCCTCCTCCACCAAATGCAAACTTAGATGAAAGCAACCATTTTGAAGCAATAAAATCCTTTGTCAATAGCACATTTGAGACTTTCTGTTCACTGCTTCAGACTTAAAGAGTTCTTTACATTTTAGACCTTTAAAATATCAACTCTGAAATGAATGTAGCCCCAGGCTTATATAATTACTCATTATGCTTTATTTTAAATGGATCAATTTTCTTTCAAATAGACCAGCAGTTATACATTTTTACCTACAAACATGTTATCAATAGAAGGCCCTGGGCCTCAAATTACTTCGCTTTCATACTGTGGCTTAATTTACTCATATAATGACTTTTTGTTTTGTGTTCCTGAAAACTCTGCACACACACGCATGGCAAGCTCAAAAACTTCATTCAATAATTGCTTTTCTTGCCTTTGAAAACATTTGGCTTTGATTTTACAGCCCTGCTATATGCCATATACGTGCAGTGACTACATATGGAAACTTTATGACATTAGTGATTTCAGCACGTTTCTTCCAAACACATTTAACCTTACCACTTTACAATTCCACTTCCTCACGCAGCAGATGTTTCGCATGCTAACCTTTCCAAGAGACAACTGTTCACACTTAAGAAACGGATTCACCATCCTGAGTACAGAAGGCACCATAGAGAGAAACCCTAACTATTCTGGGTACATATTACTCCTAGAAAAATTTCTCTTATATATCACAAAACTGCTGAGTGTGTTTTTGCCCTTCCTGCTATCTGGGCTAAGATATTCCATAGCTATGGACACCACATGGGAAACACGGGTTTCCTGTCCAATATAAAACCCATACAAGATTGTGATATTAACATAAAAATCTAAAAAGGCAAGAAAATTGGAGAAGTTATTAAAGGAAATTAAAAATGCCCTATAAATCTCACTACTCTATTTCCCCCCTACTAATTCTACTTCCAATGAGTCTGGGTTCAAGGTATATATACGAAGTTTAAAGAAAAGTTACCTATTATTTTCTTTGAAAAATGAACCACATGTACATGGGACAAATGTTTAAAAAGATCACTGTTCTCCCACATATCACATAATATTTGTCTTTCATTTGCCTGCTCAAATTTTGGAAATCTTCAAACACCACCACCACAAGACTGGAACTATAACCTTCCTCTCTAACACTTGGGCTGTAGTAGTCATTTTTCCAGTGAAGGTGCAGGTTTCCCCTGAGGGCTGAAGCAGTAGTAGCAGTTGTCCAGGGGAGTCCCTTTCTTTAGCCAGGGCACAGATGTCTAGAAGTTCCCATCAACATCTCAAGAGGTTAAGGTGGAAATAGCACACAGATGGGAAGGATGGGGTGCTAAAATGTATCTGTGGGTGAATGGTTGCCTTTGTTAGTGGGAATGCTGCCAGGCACACCGATCCAAGTTACTATTTTCATGAGTGTCCAGTGGAAAGTCCCTCAAATATATTCATAGTGTCTCAGCCACCTTATTATTGGGTTGGCTCCGGAAAAAGATAATAATTGTTCAAATAATCTAAGGTCCAACAGGGCTAACATACTTGTGACATATCTTATTTTTTGCTTTGTTTTGATTTTTTGGGCCACACCTGGGGTGGGGGTTATTCCTGGCTCTGCTCTCAGGAATTACTCCCTTGGAACCAGGATTTAGAATGTAAGAGCACCTGGAGGTCACCGTTTTTAGTTGATGTTTTAGCTAGCCTGGTATCTCTTCTTCAGTTTCTTCCTATTTCCTTTTACAATGCTTCCTTATTCCTTTTTCCCCTTTAAGTACATACATTCAAAATGATACTGATCATAATCTTTCCAGGGGCATTAACCATCAATTAAATGGGAGGGCTGGAGAGATAGCATAGCAGGTAGGGCGGGTAGGGCGTTTGCCTTGTACGTGGTCGACCAGGCCAACCCAGTTTCGATTCCTCCGCCCCTTTCGGGAGCCTGGCAAGCTACCGAGAGTATCTCACCTGCACGGCAAAGCCTGGCAAGCTACCCGTGACATATTCAATATGCCAAACACAGTAACAAGTGTCACAATGGAGATGTTACTGGGCCCGCTAGAGCAAATAGATGAACAACAGGAGGACAGTGACAGTGACAGTGAAGTGGGAGGAATGGTTGAAAAATTTCCCTAATGAAGAAGGACACAGATTTCTCTTGACTTTGGGGCTTCACTCAGGGCTTACTCCTGGTTCTGTGCTCAGGGTCATTCATGAGCTTGGGAGGAGGGGGCTGGCATATAAAGTTTCGGGGACTAAATTGGCTATATTAGCTCTTCAGCCCAGAATTCTGATTCTTGTAAGCTAATGAATTCATTCAACATTCAGTATGACATAGTAAGGAATCCAGGCATTCTGGGAGTATAAACATGACACCCATGGATCTTATTTTCAAATAACTGAAAGGATCTAGTCCAGAAAATCAGACAAGTACAAAAACATACCTATAAAAACAGGTAAATTAAAAACAAACACACAAACAAACAAACAAAAAAAAGGGTAAAAATTATGTTTTTAGAGGAATATAGATAACAGATTTTGTGCATTCAATAAAAAAGAGATTATGTCCATCTATAATAGGAAAGGCTTTGAAACTATATTAATATTTTCTATACTAAAATAAATGATAACTTTCCCAAATGACAATTCAATAACAGAAAAAATACAAATGAATCTTTTTCAAATACAAAAGACCGAAGGGTCTATTATTTCTTGAAAAATGGAAATTCTTTTCCTCATATGACATATTGAACCACTTCTTCCTTTTGTCTCCTTTAATCCATATTTTTTTGGGAAAATTGATGAAATATGGTGTAAGCATACCATCAGAAGAACATCAGAACATCAGAAGGGAATTCTGACACATTCTACAATATTGGTGAACCCAGAGATTATAAGGGTAAAAAATCAGTGGCAAAAACATGAAAACTATACGACTTCAGTAATACATGTTATCAGAGTTACATGTTATCAGAGTAATCAAATTTAAAGAGTGATGGTGGTTGTCAGGAGAGCCAATTGTCAAAAATGAGTAGTTATTTAATAGGAACAGAGTTTGAGTTTTGTAAGATGAAATAAGTTCTGTGAATGCAATTTCTTCGACAGAGCTGTACTATCAAAAATGTCAGAAATGGAATATTTGTGCTATGTATATCTAATTTTATGCTATGAAATTTACCATAATTCAAAAACACAGAATTTGTTAACACTATGTTATGCAGCTACTATCTGCAGTGGTGGGCTCCCTCTCGGAGAGCCTGGCAAGCTACCGAGAGTATCCCATCCACACGGCAGAGCCTGGCAAGCTCCCCATGGAGTATTCGATATGCCAAAAACAGTAACAAGTCTCACAATGGAGATGTTATTGGTGCCCACTTGAGCAAATCGATGAACAACGGGAGGACAGTGCTACAGTGTAGTGCTATTAGTTATGTAGCAGTTTTACTCCAGCAAGAATGAATCTCTTAAAGCAGGTCTCAGAATTTTTTGTATTTGAGCTTCTTCAGCAAACAAATTTCACAGGTCACTTAGAATTTCTTTAGGCATAATAATATGGCTAAAGCCACAATGTACATCTGATAAGACTAGTTCATTTTTCCCTAGAAATTCTTCTCTATGTAAAATTTCACCTTTCTACCGGAAAGATAAAACTCCAAAATTTCCACATAAAATAATGTTTCCATCTTCAGATGGCCATAAAACTTTTAGGAAAAAACAAAGATAATCCACCTGAAACCCAGTGCTTTGAACTCAAATCAGTCTCTTAAATAAAGATACTGAGAATCGATCCATTACAGGAAGAGTTATACAATAGCTATGTAAGTATAAATAATTGAACACAAATATAGTTTAAAGCCTAAAAATCAATCTTGAGATTAAAATCACTTTTGGAGATTCCTCAAACAGCCAACTCAGGAGAAATCAATTTTTCCTTCTATGAACGAGGAAGGCATAAAGAGGAGACTATGGAGTAATAGAAAAAAGGGGAAAAACGTGCAAGGAGCTTTATGACTAAACAGGACAACAATCTGAATTTCTTTACCTTTTTGGTAACTTGAAAGGTCTGGATGGTCTGGAAAAAAGGCAAAGGAAAAACCAATTAGAAACAAGGCAGGAACATAAACAAAGGCTTATATCTGTAATTGACATTTCACTTGTTCTCTTAATGAATGGATCCTGGCAAGGTCAAAAAAGACAGTCAAATTGAGAGATTTTTAAACACACTTGGATTTAATGATGAATGCAGACTGTGTGGTGGGCCAGGGAGGAGAATGTGAGGCCCTGACTGGGAGATGGCATTTTCCCAGCCTCACAGACTCTTGGCTGATACTGTCACAACGCAGCCCTCTTCAAATCTACTGATTGACTCACTCTCTCACAACCCACGTCTGTGTCTCCCAACACTTAAAACAAAACAGAAGCCCAGGACATCAGTATCTTCTAGTGCCAGAAATAGACTAAGCTTTCTTCAAGACAGCGAAGTTAATGTTTCAGCTTGCAATTCTTAATTTCTAAGTCCACATGCTATTTTAACGTGTGCTGGCTTGAAGTTTAATCAGATTGTCCCCACTCTGTGTTATTATTTCCTGGTATTATTCCTTCTCATCCTTTACACCCACTCAGATTATGATAGAAAAGCCCTCTACAGAAACTTCTCTTTATTGCTCCCAGGTTAACCCTCCACCCTTACTTATTGGCACATGGTAAGCGCTTAATTAGTAATTGGTGAACAAGTCAAGTTTATTCTTCCTGTTTGACTTAATCACTTAATCACTTAACTTCCCGTTAGTCGTCGATTTGCTCGAGCGGGCGCCAGTAACGTCTCCATTTGTCCCTGTCGCGTGCTAGTGTAGCCCAATGGCATCTCTTTGCTCCGGGAACGTGGAGGGCCTCAAACCGATCGTTCATGATCTTGACAAAGAAGTCTGACCATCTGGTAGGTGGGCGGCCACGCGGTCTCTTGACATCCCATGGAATCCAATCAGTAACAGCTCTAGTCCAACGGTCGTCTTTAAATCTCATTACGTGACCAGCCCATCTGATTTTTGACACCTTGGCAAATGAGACAGCGTCCCTGATCCTTGATCGTCGACGGATGTCAGAACTCCGGATTCGTTCTCTCATTTGAGTGAAACGTGATATTCCAAGCATAGCTCTTTCTATTCTTCTTTGGGAGACCTGAATGGCGTTCTCATCTTGTTTGCGTAGGGCCCAGGTCTCTGAGGCATATGTTAATGCAGGAAGAACAGTGGAATCAAAGAGATGTGCCCGGAGCCGGAAGTTCTTCGTCCTCTTAGCTATTTCTTCGACGTTCTTGAAGGCGTTCCAAGCCGCTCTCTTCCTCCTGCGCAGCTCGGGTGCCAGGTCATTTGTCATGTTGACCTCTCGACCTAGGTACACATAGCTGTTGCATTCGGAGATGGTCGTTCCATTGAGAGCGAATGGGGCGTCAGGAACAAGGCTGTTTCTCATAAACATTGTCTTCGTAAGATTCAGCTGTAGTCCTACCTTTCCACACTCACGGTCAAAGTCGGCCAGCATTTGTGCTGCTTGGCTGATGTTTGGTGTTATTAAAACAATGTCATCAGCAAAGCGGAGGTGGTGTAGTTGCCGACCATCTATCTTCACTCCCATTCCTTCCCATTCCAGTCGTCGCATGATGTTCTCGAGGGTGGCACTGAAGAGTTTTGGTGAAATGGTATCACCCTGCCGCACCCCTCTCTTGACATCAACGATCACTTCTTTGTAGAATGGTGAGATCCTGGTAGTGAATCCGCAATACAGCTCACGGAGGATCCTGATGTATTGGGCTTGAATGCCCTGATTGGCTAGGGCTTCAATGACCGCTTCCGTCTCAACAGAATCAAAGGCCTTCTTTAAATCAATGAACGTTAAGCAGAGCGGCATCTTGAACTCCCGAGAAACCTCAATGAGCTTGGTTATCGTGTGGATATGGTCGATGGTGCTGAATCCTTTGCGGAACCCTGCTTGCTCACATGGTTGTCCTTCATCTAGTGTTCTGCCAATCCTATTCAGGATGACTCGAGTGAACAACTTGTAGATGACAGACAATAGGCAGATCGGGCGATAGTTGCCAATGTCATGGATGTCTCCCTTCTTGAACAGTAGTACGGTCCTGCTGGTTTTCCATTGAGATGGAACCTTGCATTCAGACAGGTAGCGAGTGAAGAGCCGAGCCAGTGTATTGATGAGTACTGACGGCAGGTTCTTCAGGTGTTCAGGTCTGACCTTGTCTGGGCCAGGTGCTGTTTGCTTCTTTACTGACGAAATGGCGTGTCGGATTTCGGAAGGGAGAACGTTGGGAACGACATACCCATCCTGTGGAATTTGGTATGTCGGCAAGTGGACATGGCTATCGAAGAGATTTGAGTAGAAGTCATGGATAATCTTCTCCATTGCCGTTCTGGAGGATGTGATGGATCCATCAGGACGTCGGAGGGCAGTCATCTTGGTCTTATAGTTGGCGAAGGACAGGCGGGCGTTACGAATACTTTTCCCGGCTTCTGCCGCATCTACCAGTACTTCTGCTCTTCTCTCTTTGAGGTCTTCCTTGATCGCATCTCTGCACTGCTTTGCGAGCTCGGACGTTAGCTTGCGGCTGCCTGAGGCATGCGCCAAACCACGCTGGCGAATTAGCTCAAGAGTTTTCGAAGATAGGCGACTTTTTGTGGCTATCTCTCTCTTGGCGTTCCTCGCACATTCATGGAGGTGCTGAACCAGTCGATCGTATTCCTCGTCAATGTTGTCAACAATGGCATCTTCCCATGTTGCCGCAATAGTACCAAAGAGTTCCCAGTTGGTGGTCGTTCTGGGAGTTCTCTTTTTGAACTTTGCAGCCCTTTCTCCCCGCTCTGTGAAGTAGAATTTTGCACGAAGGAGACGGTGGTCCGATCCCGTTCGAAATTTTGGGACAACAGCGACATCAGTCAGGCAAAACCGTCGATTGAATATGATGTGGTCTATTTCGTTGTGGAATCGTCCACCGGGAGACTCCCATGTCCATCGTTTAGATTCTGCCTTCTGGAACTGTGAGTTACCATGAATGGTCTTGGTCGACATGATGAACTCAGACAGTCTCTCACCCTGTTCGTTCCATTCTAGGCCATGGGTTCCGATGTGAAGTTCTTCAGCTGATCTTCTCGGTCCTATCTTGGCATTAAAATCACCCACAATGATCTTGTAGAAGGTGTGGTCTTCTTTATAGAACTTCTCTAGCTCCATGTAGAACTTCTCGATTTCTCTTTCATCATAATGAGATGTTGGTGCGTAGACAACGAAGATAGAAACTGCAGGCAGTGAGCCACATCTATTCAAATGTAAACGTCCGATTCGGGTTGTTAGGCATTCGAATGAATCAATGCTCTTGGCCAAGTTTGTGTTGACAAGGACACCAACGCCTCCAACACCTCTTTTATCGCATGTTCCGAGGAACAATTCTTCTCCAGTGTCGAAAACGGCATGGTGAGATTCGTGCCTTCTTGTCTCGGTCAGACCAATGATGTCGTACTTGATCATTCGCGCTTGTACCATCAGGTCCTCGATGGATGCATCTGATGCTAGCGTACGTGCATTGAAAGTACAGACGATCATTTTTGTCTTCCTTCGTTGTGGCAGCCTAGGTCGGCCTTGAGATTTTGTCGGCCTCTCCTTTCTCATCCTTCTCAGTGCTGCCATGTCGGTGAAGCCTTCAGGGTCAGGTGAATGAGACCAGTTGTAGTTACTGGTTTTGGCATATCGAATACACAGCGGACAGCTTGCCAGGCTCTTCCGTGCGGGCGGAATACTCTCGGTAGCTTGCCAGTCTTTCCGAGAGGTATAGAGGCTTTTGGGGTGACCTCTAATCCCCCTTGTAGGTGTTACCATATTTGAACCCTATCAAATATGGTACGACAATTCCAGAAGACAGGTATTTAGTGTCTTATGATGTGTCGCGCGGCCGCTTGCGGTCGCGCGGGTCCGGAAAGCGTCCTGGAGTGTGGCGACGGCTGGGTAGTGGAAGTAGTGTCGAGAGTGGAAGTCTGCCAGTGGGGTATTTATCTGGGTAGGGTGGGTCTCCTGTGCACAATTCGATCCCTGGGTGGTTGATGGAAGCAGACAGGGCAGGGTAGGGTGCTTCCATCAACCACCCAGGGATCGAATTGTGCACAGGAGACCCACCCTACCCAGATAAATACCCCACTGGCAGACTTCCACTCTCGACACTACTTCCACTACCCAGCCGTCGCCACACTCCAGGACGCTTTCCGGACCCGCGCGGCAGCTCCGGCCTAGACCCACGCACAACTGAAGACCCACAGAACAAGGTAAGCGGAACTCTCTGAGACCTTGGACTCCAGGCTCGCCGGACCCAGGGACAGAGCTTCTCTGCTTGCTCCCACCACCACAGGTGACAAAGGGATTCCTGTTTGACTATTTCCAAGTAATTGTGATTCTTTCTCAAAGTGTGGGTTGATGATCATGCCAGCTCCCGAGACCCTTAATGGACCCTCTAAGGGCTTTCCTTTACCAACTATGTATCTGTGTAAGTTTTTGTGGGGGCCAGGGGGTCAAACATGAAGGTGGTTAGAGCTTACTCCTGGCTCCCTGCTTTCAGATCAATTCTGGCAGTGCCTGGCGACCCATATGTGATGCCTGGGATTAGACTCAGGTGGCTGCAACATATGTGCTCTAGCGTTAGTACTATTGCTCCGGCCCATTTGAGATTTGATTTTTTTTAATCAGAGACTTGGGAAAAAAGAGTGAGTGAATGCTACTCATCTCACAGACTTTTTTTTTTTAAAATCACTTGATCATTTGACATCCCATTATTCATAGATTTGCTCGAGCGCGTGCCAGTAATGTCTCCAATTGTCCCTGTTGTGTGCTAGTGTAGCCCAATGGCGTCTGCTCATTCTAGGAACATGAAGAGCCTCAAACAGATCGTTCAGGGTCTTTTTTTTTAAATAAACAGATTTTATTTGGAGGATTTTTTAAAAAAATTTTTATTAGTGAGACACCATGAGGTACAGTTGTAGACTTACAAATTTTTGTGCTTGGGTTTCAATTATACAA